ATTGCTACATATAGGTTTTCTATACCATTGTGTTTTCACAACATTATCCTCACATCTATGCAAACGCATGTCAAGGAAGGGCAAAGATCCCTCCCGCTCTTCCTCGCACGTGAATTGCAAGTGTGGGTTTTGTTGGTTGAAAACATTTAAAGTAATTGTATGGAGTCTGCTGGTAGTGCCAAGATTAAGTCATCCACGTATCTTTTAATAAACGGTATTTCAAAATTGATTTGTTGCAAACAATCTTTATTTAAATTTCATTATTATATCATTTATATTTAAATTCCATTATTAATTGCTATAATTATCATGATTAACTTCAGTTATTATTCAGATGTTCATTTTGTTTTGTTTGTTTGTTTTTTCTAAACCTATTTACTAAATACTATTTTTTTTTTTATTTTTTGACAATAATAAAACCTTTTTTTAAATTTCCCTCTCAATTCTAAGTTGGCAACATGGTTGGTAGTACCTAAAATCACAAACGGCATTTTGTTAGACATCAGTTTGAAAGTTTGTTTTTTGTAGTTACATCGAACTATTTAAACAACAATAGTTCCTCCTACTACCTCTTTCTGTTCGTGAGATGTGACTGAATTCAAACCTGCGAAGACGACTGTTTTTTGTCAAACATGTCGTCTTATTTTTTACTTTTTAAACTTTGTAACATGTTCTTTAATTTTTAAGTATTTCAAAGTTTTTAAAATTTTTAATGCCTTCAATAATTCAGATCACATCATGTTATTTAACGTTGTGTTTTATATGCTATGAATCTTACTTTCTGGTAAGTTTTTATAACTTTTATATTACATCAGCCTAATGTTATAACACAGTAATTTTCATTGTAGACCTTGATAAAGGTGGCAAATAACCACCGAAAGCTCGGAATTCAGAATAAATAGTACGCCTTAGCAAAGCTCTATTTTTTATTGACTACCACACCCAAAAAGAAAAAAGTATTTACATATATTTTTTCCAAACTAGTCAAAAAACTTTGGACTACCTTGTCTATATATATATATATATATATATATTATATATATATATATATATATATATATATATATATATATAATGGCTATACACCCCCGTGTGGGGTTAAACCGCAAATGCTTTTTAGATCTTATTTCCCTTCTCTTTCTTCCTCTTGGATTCCATTATATCATTGCGTATGTCACTGCCTTATCGCTTGCTCACCAAATGTTACCTAACCATCTAACTCTGCATTGCTTTATTTTAGTTACGATGTCTTTCTTAAGTTCTTCCTTAATTTCTGCATTTGTTCTGTTTCTATATTCATTTTGCTCTGTTCTGATTGGTCCTAGTATGGTTCTCGTAATCTTTCTTTCTGCTATTCTTAAGTCTTCTTCATCTTTTTTAACCATCGTCATTGTTTCTCCTGCATATAATAATATTGGTTTAATTATGGTGTTATAAATGCTCATCTTATTTTTTTTAGTCAGTGTTTTGCTTTTAAGTAATCTTTTGTTTCTCCGCATTTACTTATTGTAACTCCTAGGTATTTGAAGTATTCTAATTCTTCAAACTCACAACTTCCTATTTTGATTTTTTCTTCATTGGTTTTTCCCTAATCTTAATGTTTGTCTTTTCTTGATTTAATCTTAGCCCCATTACCTCTCCTTTCTCTCTTATTTCTTCACGCATTTCTTTTAGAGCATTTTTTTTATTTATAAAACATTTATTTTAAGCATAGATTAAATAGCTTTATTGATAAGGCATCTCCTTGTTTCATCCCTTTATTTATACTGAATTCCTCTGTCTCTCCTCTTTTTGTCTTTATGCTTATTTTTGTAGTTCTCGTTGTCATTTCTATTAATTGTCTGAGTTTATGTCAAATTTTTAATTTTTTAGGTGCTATCATTAATCCGTTCCTTTTAATTGAATCAAATGCCTGTTTGAAGTCTATGAATAACATTTTCAATTCTAATTTATACTCGTTTGGTTTTTCCATTATTTGTTTTATTGTGTATTATACATCTATTGTTGATCTTTCTTCTGTGAATCCACATTGGTACTGTCCTACTGTCTTCTTTGTGATCTTTGATAACCTCTTTTTTATTATTGATGTCAATATTTTATATTTTGTATTTGGTAACGTTATTCCTCTATAATTTTCACAGATTTATTGCTCTCCCTTCTTATGTACTGTTATGATCTGCCCTACCTCCCAGTCCCCCGGCATTTTCTCTTCTTTCCATGTATTTTTTAATAGTGCCAGTATTTTTCCTCTTAGTTCCCTTCCCCCGTATTTTATTAGTTCCATATTAATTCCATCTTTACCAGGGTTTATTTTATTTTTGCTTCCCTGTATTACTTCATCCAATTCCTCTAATGCTGGTTTTTTGAAATTTCGATGTCTACTTCATCTACTTCATCTGCTTCTTCTTCGTGCACCGTTTCCTCCTCGTTATGCATTTCTTCTTCTGTTGTTTCCTCCGTCAAGAGCTCTCTGTAGTAATCTCTTGCCCAAGAGAGGACCAAGAATACTTGCTTGTATTTTTGGTCCTCTCTTATTACTATTCCCTCTCCATTTTTTATTCCGTTTGTTTTGCCCTTGTATTTTTTGTTTTGTTCTTTAATCTTTTTGTAAAAAATTTTCGTATTTCTATTTGTTCTTTTCTGCATTTTTTGTCTACCCATCTTCTTTTATTTTGCCTTATCACTTTCTTAGCATTCCTTCTTAATTTTTCATATTCTACTCTGTCTTTCTCTTTATCTGTTCTTAGCCACTTATTTCTGGCTTGCACTTTTTTCCTGTTATTTTTCTACATTCTTGGTTATACTACCGTTTTTTGTTTTAGCCTGACTTTTACCTATCTGCATATTTGCACATATTTCTCTTTTATTTGAGCTGTTACTGCCTCTTCATATTTTTTCTTAATTCTTCATACTCATTTTATTGACATTCCACTTTTTATGTTGGTTTTTTTGTTTTGTTTCAATTTTAACTTTTTGTCTTATAGTGGCTGTGACCATGTAGTGGTCTGAATCTGCACACGCACCTCTGAACGTTCTTACATCTTTTATTGACGGTTGTTTTCGTTTATTAATCGTTATGTGATCAATTTGACTATATGTTTTCTGATCTGGTTACCTCCGTGTTACCTTATGTATGTTAGGGTGTTCAAATTTTGTTGAGCTTGTTAACAAATTTGTTCTTGTTGCTAGGTTACACAGTCTTTGTCCATTGTCATTCGTGTTTTCGTATATTGTATGCTTTCCTGCAATTTGTTGTAAAAAGTTCTCTTTTCCACTCTGGGCGTTAAGGTCTCCTAGTACAAATATGACATCTTCTTTGGGTATTTTTTCTATCTCTTCTTCGACCTTATCATAAAAGATTTCTTTTTCGTCTGTATTACTTGTTTCTGTGGGGCGTATAAATTCTTTATCCTTTCGCATATTGGCTTCAAATTTATAATTTTTTCTCTTAGGTGCCTTAGTATCATGAATCCCACGCCTTTTTGCCTTTGCTTATTTCCTTCTGAATATAACATGGTAAAGTCTTGTTTATCAATCTGTCCCTGTCCCTCCCAGCGTAATTCTTGCAGTGCTGCAATATCTATTTTATACTTTTTGAGTTTTTTTTCTATTTCTAGCATTTTTCCTGGAGCCTAGCATAGTTTTTATGTTCCATGTGCTTATTTTTAACTCTTTATTTTTTTTGTTCTGTTGTCTTCATCTTTTATTTTTGTTTTCTTGTCCATCTTTCTTTATTTCACTTTTGTTGTACCCGGGTTTATCTCCAGTCATTTCCTATTTCTTTTCCTCGTCCGTCAACAAATAATGCATCCTCTCATCCCTTGCTAGTTTTTTGAACCACCTCCATGATGGTCCTCCAGCTGGTTGATTTTTCTATTCCATCTCCTTTCTAGACCATCTATTATAAGTTTGTTGGCTTTAATTTGGACACGTTTCTGTCCAAATTTGTACTTTGTACTCTGTCGTTAGATCATTGTTTATATATATTTTTTGGTTTTTCACTTCTTTAAGTTTACTTTTGTTTTCCATAATTTTTGTTTTTTCTTCTTTGTTTGGCAGTCTGACTAAACATGTTTTATCTCCTAGTTTCACTGCTTCTTCTATATTTACGGTAATATTTAGCTCTTTTGTCATAAAATTTCCTATCACTTCTTTTAGAATTCTTCTATCTCCAGTTTCTATTGTCATTCCCTGTATTATCATATTATTTTCTTTTCTTATTCTATCCAGCCTTTCAAGGCGTCCTATTGTCTCATTTAGATCCTTTTTGATTTGTTCATTTTCTTTCCAGATTTCACTATTCTCTTGTTTTAGTTCTGCTACTTCAGTTTTGAGTTCCCTCATTTCTTCTCTGTATTGGTTTTGTTCCGTTTTTACTTCTTTTATATCAGTTTTTAATTCTTGTAACTCTATTGTTAAATGTTTTATCATATTTAGTATTTGATCTATTTTGACCTAAATTTAATTAATAATTTGAAATCTTTTTGAGTTAATATGAGATTAAAGTACCTGCTAAGAGTTCACATATTGCACAACACAAACTCAAAAGACTGGTTTTCGGGACTAAAATTTGGAGACACATGACGCCATGTGTGTTTATTTAAGGATTTAGGGAAAAGTTTGTAATGAAGTTAGCCAAAAAGCTTTTTCCATTGGGAGTATACTACGCATTAAAAAAATATTGTTTGACTTAAATACTAAGTCGGAAATTTGTGATTATTTATATATTTTTCCAAAAATATGTTAGTAGCTTTTTGGCATGAAAAAATAGATACAATGATACCAACTTATTTCAAAATAAAGTATTGCATTACATTTAATATTGAAAACTTTTTAAAAATTTGAAATTTTTTCTAACAATATTACTTTTGGCGGGCAGTTTTGAATATTTTAGCTTATATATACTTAGCTTCTTAGTTATATATTCTATATATTTAGCTTCTATCTATATTTAAATATGAGCGAACAGAAAAGTATTAAAACATTGGTTTTGTTTCCAGTTACATGTATGATGTGTGATTGGGTACGATCTAAACCATACCTAGGACTTTTAGGAAACTTGAGTGCAGCTATGGCAACATTATGTGCTTTTGGAGTATGTATGTATGCTGGAGTTGACTTTATAGGTTTAAATTTGGCAGCACCATTTTTAATGATAGGTAAGTAATTTTATTTAAAAAGATATTTTCAATATATTTTAAGAATTATTGTTATTAACATAAAATAGGCTGAGACCAAATTCCCTGATTGCTAACTTTTGTTTTCCCCGAAAATTATTAAAATAACAGATGGAAATGAAAATTAAAATTTCAATATTCTTGACATGATATAAAAGAGAAAATTTATAAAACATAAAACAAATAACGAGTGCTTACAGAAAAAAGAGCTTTACCATCCTTGAGAAATAGACATCCACGGCCGATATTGGACATAGAAGAACTGAAGGTAGCTGGAAAGATTTACGATTTTAGAATCGAAAACCTTTTTAATTACCAATATGCATTGGATTATATGAACAATGGATTAAAAAAGTGGTCAAAAATCCTTAAACGTGAAGATAGACATACAGTAAATAAACTGAAATGATAAGAAAGACGTTTAAAATTTAATTTCATTGCAGGGCTCCTGCCATCCGCTTATACTTATTTCGACCTTATTAGGTCTCCTCATAGTGTCTTATGTACCAGCTCTGTATTCTTAAATAAATCTCTCCCATAAAAGAATAATTACAAAAATAATTATTACATTACATTACTACGCTATCTAATAACAATTATAGTAGAAATCCAAAAATTACTTGGCGATACTGAAATTCAGATATTTGTCTACTGCACTTTCTATAATATACAAAAGTAGATATATTGATGAAATTAATTGACAAGGGGAATCTACAATTGGCATTCCATAATCTGTCGATCCACCACGGCAAATATCCTGACTGAATTAGTTTCTAGTACTAGTTTGAAATTTAATTTAAATGCAGGGCTCCTGTCATCCGCTTATACGTATTTTGACCTTCTGTTTAAATTAATTTGTCTAACGGCCATCTATGTAGCAAGGACAGACTGCTTTACACACACTTCGAAGCACAACAATGGCTAGTTTAATTTTTAGAAATTGAAAATTTCGTTGTCTGTGCAAAGCATCGTTGAACTCTTGCTTTCGGCTTGATACGCTATCTAAGCCGCTGAGATACGGCCGCCACAAAAATTACTAAAAGCTACTAAATACATAAGTTATACGGTTATCGTATTTAATATGTTTGTATTTTGCAGGAATTGGCATTGATGATACCTTCGTTATGTTAGCTGCCTGGAGAAGAACATCTATTAAGTCACCGGTACCAGTCAGAATGGCAGAGATGTTGAGCGAAGCCGCTGTATCCATAACGATTACGTCGGTGACTGATTTCTTCAGTTTTTGGATTGGTATTTTCAGTCCTTTCCCATCAGTCACAATATTCTGTATATACTCAGGTAAATTTTTTCAATAAATATAGCTACAGTGACATAGATTTTAAAATATCTTTGTTATATATATGTTTAAATATTTTTACATTAGGTGCTGCCACTGTTTTGCTGTTCATTTGGCATTTGACATTTTTCGCTGCGTGTGTAGCTCTTTCTGGATACTGTGAACAAAAAAACTTGCATTCAATCTTCTGCTTTAAAGTATTACCGAAATCACAATCTCGTAAGTATATAAAAAATTTTTTTTTTTTTAACTAATTGGTTTATAATACCGAAATTTACTATTTATATAAAGCTATTTAAATTTTGAGGCTATTTCGTTTAATTACTAGGTCCACAAAATGTAAACTACAAAATATTTTGAAGTTATTTAGTTATACTAAACTAAACGTTGTTTAAAAAAATAGTTATATATATGACTCGAAATGAGAATATTGGAATTAAAAAAATTATTTATTTGAACAGTACGCAAATAAAACGAATTAAGAACACATTTAACATAATAAAATATACGCTTCTGATAAAGAAATAATGATATACTACATTCGCTTAGCTCGGGCATATTTCATTGTCGGAAACCTACAACACAACAATTCCTACTTCTCAGTATTAATAGCTCAAGTATACTACTATTGCAGACTTCTTTCTTTGAAAAAAGAAGAATTATTCTAAATAGTGGAAGTGTATACTAAACCCATCAAATTTGGGTAGTATATATTTAAAAAATATATTTTAGTTGTTATAATTTAACATAAGTATTATATGGTGCAGATAAATAAATATTGATTGTGAGTAATTCGTAAATTTCTAAGTTAGTTTACTATTAATATTGGATATGAGTACGTGTGCCTGGTTGTATAGTAATTTCCAGCCATCTTTAGTCTGTCAAAAAGTATCTAACTTCGCAAAAAAATAAATACTAAATTCACTAGACAGTTCGAACTGGGAATAGCGAACCGAGTATAAAAAGTATTTTCTAAGAGGATACAATAATAATATATTAAATATTTAAGTGTTTATAAATAGGCCGTAGAAAGTTAGTCTTATTCGGATACATAAAAATATTAAAAAGAAGAGGCTGAAAATATAACGGAAGAAAAATCATTAAAAGTCAAATGAAGAATTGCAGTAAAGGATTTGAAAAGATAAAAAAAAATAACCATTGGTAAAAGACAAGTAAATCATACCACACACAGAACGTTGACATTTCTTTTTCTCTCCCAATCTCTCCTTCTCTCTCCTTCTCTCTCTCTCTCACTTTCTCTCTCTCTCTCTCTCTCTCTCTCTCTCTCTCTCTCTCTCTCTCTCTCTCTAATGATGTCCTTACTAATTGAGAATTAGTCAACGAGTAGAAACAGGAAGAAAAGTCGCATTCTTATTTAAAGCCTTTGTGTTTATATATTTGGTCATTTCTTCCGCATGTTTCAACCTAACTCTGTATCGGCTATAGAATATGTAATCAGGTTGTCGAAATATCTAATCATAAATCCTTCGTCGTTGATCCCTACTGGTCTAATAATCTTCCTCCCTTTCAAAGTCAATAAACATTAGATTTATGTCGTTTGAGCATTCGCTTGCTACTTTCAAGATAATTTTTAATGTACATATATGTGACCAAAAAGCTTTGCATGAAAGCCTGCTTAGTTACTTCTTAATATTTTGTCCATACGAAATTTCAATAAGCGATGCAATGGACGTAAACATTAGCACATGTAGGCCTCTAACAGGACCGCACTTACGATTATATTTTAGTTTGGCCAGTAGTATTATCTTGTAAAATACGAAATTTATATTTTAATTTTGCAAAAATGCGAGACAAAGAACCTGATTGTTTTGAGTTTATATCCGACAATAATAGGAAACATTTGTACAGGCCGAAAAAACCAATGTCAAAAACGGACAAAAATTTTTATATACAGGGTGTTCTCAAAAAATATGTTTTATTTAAAATAGTTGTTTATACAATTCCAAAAAGTTTAAATATTGCAAAACGGTTAGTTTTTTTGGAATAAAAATACAAACTGATGCCTAATTCGTTTGAATCCAGCATAAATATATGGTAGAGATCGAGATCTCGGCTACTTTTAAACATTATTCTGATGAACTGTCATAATACGTCACTATCATCAACGTTTATAACAAGTGCTTCAAAATGTATTTGAATCGAATCAAATTTTCCACCAGCCATTACCCGCCATTATTATATATATATATATATATATATATATATATATATATATATATTATATATATATATATATTTGATGAAATTGAATTATAAAATTGATTTATGGCATCTGAAAATTTGAAGGTGGTGTTTTTTTCCTACACTATCATTTTCAATATTTGTCCAGATAGTTCTATGGGGTTTAACTCACAGTAATACAGAGGTAGTCTCAATACCAGTTTATTCTGGTATGGCACGTTTTTTACAATTGCAAGAATATGTACTTTAAGCATACGTTGATCAAATTTTATATTTTTGGAACGGAGCCAATTCTGGATATTGCATTTTTAGATGCACTTGAGGGTATTTTTTCTATTTTACGAGAATGATACGATGCGTTGTCAAGAAAACTGATATATTTGTCTTCTAATGTTGGTAAGACATTGAAAATTTTCACCCATTTTCAATAGATTGATCTGTCTCTGGATCTGACCATCTCTTCATGGTAATCACCAGACTTATTCGACCCAAATACCCAGAGGGGATTCGGAACAAACCCATTCTCGCTGCTAATGTTACAAATGATGTTCAAATAATAAATCTTTGACCTTTTCCCAAAAACTTAAAGTATTTGTAAGTTTTGAGACTTGAAATATGTAGAATATAACAAATTACTCGAAGGATTTTTTAATCCCGTTGTTAATCCATCCAAAGAGCTTATGTAGGAGATTTTAGTGTGGTGTCTATCCATATTTTGGATTTTGTTTCTTCCAACATTATATACTTTGTTTTCGGTCCACTAACCTTAAGTTTTCCCTCTTCAGTAGCCCTTCTCCAACCCTCCAACTTCTCCAACATTTCTTTACTCTGCTTCATTAACACGACATCATCCGCAAAGAGCATTGACCAAGGAGCCTCCCTGTTAGTAACATCACCATATTTGTTAGTACATCCATAACAAGATTAAGCTAAAAATTTGGATTTAAGCCTGTCTTATGTTATGTATGGCCACAGTGTGCTTTTTGTTTTTAAGTGGTTAAAACTACCCCTAATAAGCGTTTTAAGCATTACAATCTGGTTGAAAATAGTGAAAAGCTACAAAAAAACAAAGACTTATATCTATAGACTTATATCTATAGAACTCAACGATATAAAACAATCGTTAAAATGTTTTCAACCAACACCGCAGATATTATGCTTTTATATTATATATTTATTTTAATCAATAGTAAATATTCACTTTACATCGATTTCCACTGCTTATTTATTAAGCTTATTCGCTCCGTGTAGCTAAACACGTAAAACACAATAAAATAAAAATATTTTTTAATATAATTGTAATTACTGTCTGAATATATAAATTATTAATTAATTTTATATATAAATAGGGCCGCCCAGGGCCAGGCTGCCCCCCCAAACCCAGTTGAACGAAAATTCCCAAAAATCTGATAACTCATAAACTGGGATATGTAATAGTGAACACGCATGCTATTGACACAGGAAGGAAGAAAATTAAAACAGTTTTAACAATTAAACTCTGTTTTTAATTATTTACAATAGAACTGTTACAACATAACTTTTCTTGCTTTCATATCCGCAAAGTTTTGGATCACGTGGTCGAAATCAAGAGTTTTTGCAAGTTTCGACTCTATGCTTAACAGTTCCAAATCAGATAATCGTTGTTGACTCGTAGTAGATCTTAAACAATTCTTAATTCGGCTCAAAACACTAAACGATCTCTCGGCCTGAGCAACGGATACTGGTAGGCAACAGAATACGCGAAGAGCAATCCACACATTGGGGAAAAGATTTGTCACATTAAGGAACACGAGCTTGTTCAAAGTTTTGCTGGTTTCAGCGACGTATTTGAGATGTTTCATTTACTAACAGTTATTTACTAAATGATTTACTAAATCATTTCATCAACTAGATCCCTGCTTACATCTGAATTGTACTCTTCGGCGAATCTTACACAACTTTCTGAGATCGCATTCTCGTCCATTTCGTTATACTTCCATAAAAATAAAAATTTCATTTCGATTTCTCTCAGTGCTGTGAACCTCGTTTTTAGGTTGGCCACCAAAACATCAATTATTGTGTAAAAACTTCTGTTTTGAAGCGTTCTTCCGGAGATAAATTTAACATTACATCTTCTGTAGCTGTTTCATCGTGAAAAGTCTTCCTCTTTCTCGCATGGGAAGTGGAGAGTTCCGGTTCGATACCATAAGCATTTGCAACATGTTTGCATTCAGACAATATCTTGCCCATTTATTTCTTAAGTCACTCCAAAAATCGTTCATTGATTTCATATTCTTTGAAAATAATGTATCCAAATAAAAAAGAGGTCTGTTCTACATGGCTTGCATCTAGTGGAGCGTCAACCATAATAGAATAGTATTTAGATCGCTTGAGTTCGTCCACAATAACTTTCCTTACATAATCAGCACAACTTGTTATGAACTCGTTTTGAGCTCTCCAAGACAAATAATGCACTTGCATTCGCTTATTCGATTCTTGAGATTGCTTTATTTTGTTATTCTCAATACCATCACATATAATCTTCAGAATCTTTTTAATTAATCACATAACAGCTATACTACGTTCCACGTTTAGAAAATAACATTGCGAAGATAGGCCCATGTATTTCTTATGGACGATAGCAATGCGGCGTTGCCACGACACACACAAGCACAATTTATGGTTGTATAATTTGTATTTTCGTTTCCACAAACATGAATTAAATTAATGTTTTTTAACGTAATTGACCAAAAGTGCCCATTCGAAACAAGAGATGAAAAGTAGGGAAAATGATTTTAATTAGATAAATAGTATTTACAAAAGATTATTTTATTTTATCTTATTTTAATTATAGTAACGACAGTTTATTTGTTTTTCGGTGAGAATACGATATGCCATGAATCATATAAATCAGTACAAAATATTGACCGCTTGGAATACGTATATCTAATTACTAATTGCAACTTAAAATAATACGATGTGCGTATGTCAGCTATTTTATGTCGTCTCTGACTACATAATGATAATAAAGCTTTTAT